TTTTATTTACTGCTTGATCTCTCCCCAGTCAGGCTACTTCCAGCCCTCCTGTGAAAGAGAAACAATAAAGAGATTGAACTCTCAACATTCAGCCAACAGACCAAACATTGCACGTTCAATCCCACTTTGTTCTTTTCACCAATTTGCACTTATACATCAGTGCGAACTTGAAGTTTGATGATCATAAAAGTGTGCAATGTATCAGTTGAATCTTAAATCCTGCAAACCACCTTAGATGGGATCTTTATTTTGCTGCATTTTCTAACTCTGAAGATGCTGGGGGACGCTTGAGAAGTGTAAAAGGCTAGGGATTGATGTAAGATTCAGTGTACTGTATAGAACTGATATGAGATACAGTATTAACATAAGGTATGGTACTGGTGTAAGGCACTGTACTGATGTAAGGTACTCTACTGATGTAATGTACAGTACTGTAGCATTGTAGTTTGTAGGACTTTCAAAGTGTTGATTCATTAGTCTAATGGTGCAGACAGATGGCACAAGGTTGACCAGTAAAGAGAGGTAGACACAACTTGTAGAGAGGAACTCCAGTGAGATGTTTCACCTGTGGAACATCTTGGTAAAATTCCCCTCTGGAAATTGTGGAAGTTCCTCAGTAATTTATTATATCTACTGTTAAGATTCTTGTATTGTGGTCATGGTTTTGGATAGCAACATGTTGCTTGGGGCCAGCACTAAGAAAGCTCATAACTGCTGCAGTTGTAACTAATTTGAATAATTTGCTTGAAAATTGGTGATTAAGTTTTTTTTTATCAAATTAGAATAAACCGAGAGAAGCCATTATGTAATTATCAACCATGGTGGGTAGACTTCAGGGGAAAGTAGCAGAAGATGATTACTCCTTTTCAGTTTCAGTGGAGAACTTTTATCAATTAATATTTTCTATAAATGCACATTAAGTACCCTTATGAAGCTCCTCTAAATGCAATTGAAAAAGTACATCCAAAATTGAAGAGCATGTGAAAAGGCCTTCATAGTATGTTATTTAATTTTGAATACACTTTTTCAGTTGCAGTTGCAAAAAAATTGCACCATATAGAATAGTTTTATAAGAGAGGTTACTGAATACTTGTAAACACAACACAGTCACGTACTGGTGTTGTCATCCCATGTGGGACGGGAATAAATAATAACATTACACAAAATTTTGTATTTTTATGAATCTTGATAAATTTTCATTATACACCGGAGCCCGGCCCTTCCTCAACATCTTATGCAAACTTTTGTGCTGTGAAGATGTGACATAGGTACAGAGCAAGCTTTTATTGACACATTTCACTCTGCGTAGGGGTACATATACGTATATACTGCAAGATGTATAGAGCTCAGTGTATATACACTAAGAAGTTACTGTGATCCCTGTTTAAAGTATTAAAGTATTCTTGGTGGTGAAGAGTTTATGTGCAGCCTTAGACCTCCAGGGAGTTGATAGGCTTGAAACCCCATTAACTATTTTTGTCAAGTCATTGACTTATAAATCTCTACGAAGAGCAATATGTCATCACAATAATATCTTGTTCTGTAACTTGTGCCTTTTTTTTTCAATTCTCTCATCAGTAGGCCTATATATCTTACTATGTATCTTACTCATCAGTAGGTTTATGTATCATAATTATCAATATGTCTGTTTCTGAACTCTTACCATTCAAGTCACACTCCCTTAACCAATCCTCATTAACATTTTGATACAAATACTCATTTTGCATAGTCATTTCTCTAGGCTGCTAGTTGGGTAGGGAGATAGATTAGATAGATTACAGGTTAGATTAGATAGATTACAGGACGATGCTGGCATCACGAAGACCGAGGTTCAAAGCTGACAGCTACAGATGTTGCTGCAATCCGCTGTGGCCGCCCCTACTCTTCACCTTCTACTCTAGCCAATCAAGGGGGATGCTTGATGTTAGTGAAGGGCTCTTGATTCAAGGAATTGGAGCTACCCTCCCTCTTCTCAGATCAAACCTGATTGCCTCCCATTCCCAGGGCACTTGTATAACCCTCTGTGGGTTTGGCACTTTCTCAAGAATATAATAATAATAATAATATCCACACTAGCATGATTTCCTGCTAATAATAAATATAATTTGTTCAGTGTGTAACCTAAAAAAAAAGGCTCTTAGAGTAGATAAGGAAATAAAATGTAAATGTTAGTCATACACACATAACTCGCATATAGGAAACTGAAACTTATGACGACTTGGTCCATGGTCCAAGTTGGACCGAATTATCAGTCTTCTGTGTGCGGGTTATTTGTGTATTGTTCCAGTCATGGTATTGTGCCTTTTTGTTCTTTAAAGTTTAGTTATCTGAAAGTCTTCCCATGTTAAGGGAAGACTTTTTAATTACTACATATATACAGTAAATTAATAGTTTTCTGCATTTGTTACATTGAATAATATGATTATTGCATGGTAGCATTTTGTTGTAGATATCTTCCTTGCATGTTTGTTCAAGGTTGTATTGCATGTGCATGTGTGTGTATGTGTGTGTGTGTGTGTGTGTGTGTGTGTGTGTGTGCATGTGTGTGTGTGTGTGTGTGTGTGTGTGTACTCACCTATTTGTGGTTTCAGGGGTCAAGACATAGCTCCTGGCCCCACCTCTTCACTGATCACTATAGGTCCTCTCTCTCTCCCTGCTCCATGAGTTTTACCATACCTTGTCTTAAAACTCTGTGGTTCCTGCTTCCACTATGTCACTTGCCAGACTATTCCACTTCCTGACAACTCTATGACTAAAGAAATACTTCCAATTGTGACCCCTTATTTCTGTGTCCCATCTCTGGAACATCCTGTCTCTGTCCACCTTGTCAATTCCTCACAGTATTTTGTATGTCGTTTTCATGTCTCCCCTAACCCTCTTGTCTCCAGTGTCATCAGGTCAATTTCCTAACCTTTCTTCATAGGACATTCCCCTTAGCTCTGGAACTAGCTTTGTTGCACACCTTTGCACTTTTTCTAATTTCTTGACGTGCTTGACCAGGTGTGGGTTCCAAACCGGTGCTGGACACTCCAGTATGGGCCTGATGTACATGGTGTACAAAGTCTTGAACGATTCCTTACTGAGGTATCGGAACACTGTTCTCAGGTTTGCCAGGCACCCATATGCTGCAGCAGTATCTGGTTGATGTGCACCTCAGGAGATGTGCTCAGTTTTATACTCACCCCAAGGTCCTTTTCCTTGAATCAGGTTTTCAGTCTTTGGCCACCTAGTCTATACTCTGTCTGCATTCTTCTTTGGTAGGGCTGAACTCCAGGAGCCAGTTGCTGGACCAGGCCTGCAGCCTGTCCAGATCCCTTTGTTGCTCTGCCTGGTCCTCATCTGATTGAATTCTTCTCATCAAGTTCACATCATCTGCAAACAGGGACACTTCTGAGTCTATTCCTTTCATCATGTCGTTCACAAATACCAGAAACAGCACCGGTTCTAGGAATGATCCCTGTGGAACCCCGCTCATCACAGGCACCCACTCTTGATACCTCGTCACGTACCATGACTCATTGTTGCCTCCCTGTCAGGTATTCTCTGATCCATTGCAGTGCTCTTCCTGTTATGTGTGCCTGATCCTCTAGCTTTTGCACTAATTTCTTGTGAGGAACTGTATCGAAGGCTTTCTTGCAGTCCAAGAAAATGCAATCCACCCGCCCCTACTTTCTCATGTCTTACTTCCATTACCTTGTCATAAAACTCCAGTAGGTTTGTGACACAGGATTTGCCTTCCACGATTCTGTGCTGGTTGTCGTTTATAAGCTTGTTCTCGTCGAGGTGCTCACCACTCTCCTCTTGATAATCTTTTCCATGACTTTGCATACTATACAAGTTAGTGACACTGGTCTGTAGTTTAGTGTCTCATGTCTGTCTCCTTTCTTAAAAATGGGGACTACATTTGCCATTTTCCATATCTCAGATAGTTGTCCAGTTTCAATGGATGTGTTGAAAATTGTTAGTGGCATGTACAGCATCTCTGCTCCCTCTCTAAGGACCCACAGAGAGATGTTGTCCAGTCCCACCGCCTTTGAGGTGTCCAACAATTGTTGGTATATCCCTTGTTGGGGTAGCCCCCTGTTCTGACTCCCTGGAGTCCTTTCTGTAAATACTTCCTTAAATCTCATGTTGATCTCCTCACATACTTCTTTGTCATTTCTTGTGAGCTCCCCACCTTTTTTCCTCAGCCTGATTACCTGGTCCTTGACTATTAGTCTTCCTCCTGATGTGGCTATACAACAGCTTCAGGTCAGACTTGACTTTTGATGCTATGTTGTTTTCATACTGTCGCTGGGCCTCGCTCCTTATCTGTGCATACTTGTTTTTAGCTTTTCAATTAATCTATTTTCCTGGGTCCTTTGTATTCTGTACTTTTCCATTCTCTAGTGCACTTAGTTTTTGCTTCTCTACACCTTTGGGTAAACCAAGGGCTTGTTCTGGTCTTCCCATTATTCCTGTTGCCCTTGGGAGCAAACCTTTCCTCTGCCTCCTTGCATTTTGTTGTTACGCAGTCCATCATTTCGTTTACTGATTTTCCTACCAATTCTCTTTCCTACTGAACCTCCTGCAGGAAGTTCCTCATGCCTGTGTAGTAGTCCCTTTTGTAGTTTGGCTTTTCCCATCCTACTCCTGTTACTCTCTCCACTTGTAACTCTATGTATTCAGAGCTCAGAACCATGTGATCATTAGCTCCAAGGGGCCTTTCATATGATGTATATGTGTGTGTTGTGTGTGTGTGTTGTGTGTGTGTGTTGTGTGTGTGTGTGTGTGTGTGTGTGTGTGTGTGTGTGTGTGTGTGTGTGTGTGTGTGTGTGTGTGTGTGTGTGTGTGTGTGTGTGTGTGTGTGTGTGTGTGTGTGTGTGTGTGTGTGTGTGTGTGTGTGTGTGTGTGTGTGTGTGTATGTGTGTTGATGCTGCAGTTGTTGATGACTGGCAACTGCTCCATCACCCTTGCCTTGTTACCTGCCGATTCTGCACTCACCACTGTCTCTACCACAGGGAATCTCAACAATAAGTACGGCACAATGCCAGCTAGCACACGAGGGTCTGAGCGGTCCCTCCCTGCTGCAGCGATTCGGGATGAACGTGAACACAGCGGCTACTTTAGCGATCGTAACGACAGCTACGGAAGTCGCCGTGATCTTTACGATCGTGGCTACATGAGTGACCATGAGCGTAGGTGCGTGTTTTTATTTTTGTTTTGTGAGTTAGGTTAGGTAAGGTTTGTCAGGAAACAGGACAAGTGCTTCCTTAGTCATATGATGACCAAAAGTTACACCAGTGTAACTTTTGGTCATCTGACCGAGTAATAGCTTCCTTTAACCCTTAAATGGTCCAAACATATATATATACGTTTTTTCAACATCTGAAAGTATGTAAAAAAATGTAGATCTTCTTTTTTGTTTTACATTTGAAAATGTGTAAAAAAACTTTTATCTACATTTTTTTTGTTATACAGTGGACCCCCGCATAACGATCACCTCCCAATGCGACCAATTATGTAAGTGTATTTATGTAAGTGCGTTTGTACGTGTATGTTTGGGGGTCTGAAATGGACTAATCTACTTCACAATATTCCTTATGGGAACAAATTCGGTCAGTACTGGCACCTGAACATACTTCTGGAATGAAAAAATATCGTTAACCGGGGGTCCACTGTATTTGAAAATATGTAAAAAAAAGTAGACCTACTTTTGTAGCACTACAAATCTGAACGTCGATCTGTTTGGACCGTTAAGAGTTAAGGAGAGGTATTTTGATGCTGTTGAGAGACATAAAGGTAGTTGGTCTACCTTCTTCTTCTTCAGATAAAGTTTGTTGTCCATTCCTTAAATATGACCCTAATGGCTTTAGCACTTCTCTAATTTATTATAATACATATTATGAAAGTGGTACAGTTCAAATTTCAGAAATTCTCTAAATGATCAAGGTGATGAGGATAAAAGATTTAGGTAATGAAAGATTGGATATCAGATTGCAACTAACCCAATGGAAATAAGTCACCTTGACTTTTTTTGGGGTTATCCTAGATAATTTACTCTATGTATGATAATTGTACCTGTGCTTAAATAACCTTATTTGCTTAAGTCAAGAGTATGGAGGAAGTGAATGTATTCAGATATTTGGGAGTGAACTTGTTGGCAGATGTGTCTATGAAAGATGAGGTGAACCATAGAATTGATGATGGGGGAAAAAGGTGAGTGAGCCATCTGTGTAGACAAAGTATGTTATCCATGGAAGCAAAGAGGGGAATGTATGAGAGTATAGTAGTGCCAATACTCTTATATGGGCATGAAGCATGAGTTGTGAATGTTGCAACAAGATGGAGGCTGGAAACAGTGGAGATGTCATGTCTGACAGCAATGTGTGGTGCGAATATTATGCAAAAGATTCCTAGTTTGAAGATTAGGAGGTGCAAAATTACTAAAAGTATTATCCAGAGAGCTGAGCAAGGGTTGTTGTGGTGGTTTGGAAATTTATAGATGATGGAAGACAATACAATAATTTGGAGGGTATATCTATCTGTAATGGAGGGAAGGAGGGGTATGAGTTACCCTAGGAAAGGTAGGAGTAAGGGGGCAAAGGAGGTTTTGTGTGCAAGGGGCTTGGACATCCAGCAAGCAAGTATAAGTGTGTTAGAAAGGAGTAAGTCGAGGCAAATGGTTTCTATGACTTTACGTGCTGTTGAAGTACAAGCAAGATAACATGAAGGGGTTCGGGGTAACCGGTTAGCCGGACTTGAGTCCTGGAGGTGGGAAGCAGAGTGCCTGCACTCTGAAAGAGGGATAGGGTATTTGAACTGTAGTATGAGTACACCTCTGGCAAAAATGGGTGGGAGACTGCTGGTGTTAAAAAAAAAAAATATGGAAAACAATATAAGAGCATAAGAAAGAAGGAACACTGTAGCAGACCTACTGGCCCATGCGAGGCACGTCCACTGTATAGGTTAACAGTTTTATTTACTTATTTTCAACAGATTAATAAGTATTTCTGTTAATTTGAAACTTGCAGGCAGCAACGACATATCTCCACTCACTAATTGAATTCAGTGTTTTAATAAACCCAGTTATTATTTAAATAATACTTGCAAAATTTAAAACTTTAATTTGAAGAACAGGTGATCAAGAATAACGAAATCCCAAATTATTATTATTACCATTATTATTATTATTATTATTATTATTATTATTATTATTATTATTATTATCACTTATTATTATTATTATTATAAACTCATAGTTTTACCTTTATTATCTGTTATTTATAAAACCTGTTGTTAGAATACTCTTTTAACTTATACAAACAAATTGTAACAAAAGCAGTAGCATCATCCTTGGCATTCACTACCATAATAGGAGACCTAAATGCTAAAGTAGGAGAAGCATTTAGGGAGGGTGTGGTAGGTAAGTTTGGGGTGCCAGGTGTAAATGATAATTCAATTCGATTCAATTCAATTCAAAGTTTATTCTCTATAAGGATTACAATGCTGAGTTTACAGAATTTGGTTATTGTGTGGTTTACATGTAGTAAAATAATGATTACAGAGTGTACCACTAGAACACCTAGCATGGCTAGGCATTTCAGGAGCATTTGACTGGACTTTGTATAGAAAAGGGTTTGGTTATAGGTAACATATATTTTAAGAAAAAGAGGATAATAAGTATACAAGATATGATGTAGGGCAAAATGACAGGAGTTTGTTGGACTACGTATTGGTAGATAAAAGACTGTTTGGTAGATTTTGGGATGTATACATGTTTATAGAGGCACCACAGATAAATCAAATCGCTTTTTAGTTGTAGCTACAGTGAGAGTAAAAGGTAGATGGGATACAAGGAGAATGGAAACAGCAAGTAAGAGAGAAGTGAAGATTTGTAAACTAAAGGAGGAGGCAGTTAGGGTAAGATATAAACAACTGTTGGAGGACAGATGGGTTAGTGAGAGTATAGGCAGTTGGGTAGATGTATGGGATAAGTTTAAGAATATAGCATTAGAGTGTTCAGCAGAAGTTTGTGGTTACAGGAAAGTGGGTGCAGGAGGGAAGAAGAGCAATTGGTGGAATGATGATGCAAAGAGAGAAAAAGTTAGCATATGAGAGGTTTTTACAAAGTAGAAGTGTTGCAAGGAGGGAGGAGTATATGAAGAGAAAAAAAAAAGGTTAAGAGAGTGGTGAAGCAAATTCAAATTCAATTCAAATTCAAAGTTTGTTCTCTATAAGGATTACAATGCTGAGTTTACAGAATTTGGTTATTGTGTGGTTTACATGAGTAAAATAATAATTACAGAGTGTACCACTAGAACACCTAGCATGGCTAGGCATTTCGGACAGACTTAAATTAAATCTTAAGTGTAAAAAGCAGTGTAAAAAGAGAGCAAATGAGAAGGTGGGTGAGATATTATCAACAAATTTTGTTGAAGTGAGATTAATAAGTTGAAAAACTCTAGGGACAAAATGGATTTGTTAGTCAAAAATAGGAAATGAGAGTTATTAAATAGAGAGTTAGAGGTAACGGGAAGATGGAGGGAATATTTTGAGGAATTGTTAAATGCTGATGAAGATAGGGAAGCTGTGATTTCATGTATAGGGCAAGGAGGAATAACATCTTATAGGAGTGAGGAAGAACCAGTTGTGAGTGTGAGGGAGGTGTGTGGGGCAGTGAGTAGAATGAAAGGGGTAAAGCAGCTGGGATTGATGGGATAAAGATAGAAATGTTAAAGGCAGGTGGGGATATAGTTTTGGAGTGGTTAGTGTTTTTATTTAATAAATATATAGAAGAGGGTAAGGTACCTAGGGATTGCCAGAGAGCATACGTGGAATTTACCTGAAGGGGGTTTTGGGGGTCAACGCCCCCGTGGCTCAGTCCGAGACCAGGCCTCATGGTGGATCAGGGTCTGATCAACCAGGCTGTTAGTGCTGGCTGCAGGCAAGCTGACATATGAACCACACCCCGGTTGGTCAGGTACCGACTTTAGGTGCCTGTCCAGTGCCTTCTTAAAGACAGCCAGGGGTCTATTGGTAATCCCCCTTATGTATGCTGGGAGGCAGTTGAACAGTCTTGGGCCCCGGACACTTATTGTGTTGTCTCTCACAGTACTCGTGGCGCCCCTGCTATTCATTGGGGGATGTTGCATCTCCTGCCGTGTCTTTTGCTTTCATAGGGAGTGATTTTCATGTGCAGGTTTGATACCAATCCCTCCAGGACCTTCCAAGTGTATATTATCATGTATCTCTCTCGCCTGTGTTTGAGGGAATACAGATCAAGGACCTTCAACCATTCTCAGTAATTTAGGTGCCTTATTGTACTTATGTTTGCCATGAAAGTTCTGTGTACAGTCTCCAGGTCTGCAATGTCGCCAGCCTTGAAGGGGGCCATTAGTGTACAGCAGTATGCCAGCCTAGAGAGCACAGGTGATTTGAAGAGAATCATTATGGGCTTGGCATCCCTAGTTTTGAAGGTTCTCATTATCCATCCTATCATTTTCCTAGCAGATGAGGTAGATACATTGTTGTGGTCTTTGAAGGCGAGATCCTCTGACATTATCACTCCCAGGTCCTTCACATTACTTTTTCGTTCTATTGTATGGTTAGAATTTGTGGTATACCCTGATACATTTTTAATTTCCTCAAGTTTCCCATATCTGAGCAGTGGAAATTTTGCCTCATTGAACTTCATATTGTTTTGAGTGGCCCATTCGAAGATTTGGTTGCTGTCCACTTGGAGTCTCGCGGTGTCTTCAATGGAGGTCACTGCCATGGTAATCCGGGTATCATCCACAAAGGAAGACCTGAAACTATGGCTTACATCTCTGTCTATGTCAGAAATGAGGACAAGGAATAGAATGGGAGCGAGTACTGTGCCCTGTGGAACAGAGCTTTTTACCATGGCTGCCTGGGACTTTACTCTGTTTACTATTACTCTTTATGTTCTATTTGTCAGGAAGTTATAGATCCATCTACCAACTTTTACTGTTATTTCTTTATCATGCATTTTGTGTGCTATTACACCATGGTTGCACTTGTCAAAGGCTTTTGCAAAGTCTGTGTATATAACATCTACATTTTGTTTATCCTCTATAGTATTCAGGACTTTGTCATAGTGGTACAGTAGCTGGGACAGGCAGGAGTGACCTGCTCTGAACCTGTGTTGCCCTGGGTTGTGTAATTGATAGATATCTAGG